CCTTCCCCGCTGCAGGCCCGCGCAGCCATTCTTGGGACTGCAGTCAGACGGCGGGGAGGCGAAGGTCACTTTCCGAAGGACGGACGGAGCCTTCTCCTGCACAGGTTTGGTCGGAGCCGGGTTGTGAATAATGGGCACGTGAAAGAGGAGGGCAAACCCACAGTCGGAAGGACCGGCGGTGGTCTCCAGGGGAACTCCGGCCACGTCGGCTTCCTTTCGGGGTCTCCGGGACTGCGGGGAGTCCGCGTCGCCCGCGGCCTGGTCCCGGCTTTCGGAGAAAGCGGGCTTTTCATCGCCAGCCGGATCACTCATTTTGGTAGAAGTCAGAAAACCCGCAGAGAAGCGACTCTTGTTCTGGTCTTCTCTGTACGCGGAGCTCCGCCGGAAGATGCCCCTCGGGCCGCTCTTCTTTTCCCAGCGCCCCAATGGCTAACTTTTTGGAAATAGATCTCCAAGGCTTTTTTCCATTGTGTCTTTGAGTGGATCTGAACCTCCAAGCTTTTGGTTATTAGTCAAGTACATTACCATTTGTACCCCCAAAGAGCTCCTACATACTATGTGTGCACTATTAGCACAAAAAGTGGTTGATACATAAGGGTGTTGATGTCCGTTGCTACAAATTCTCACAAGGCAGATGCTTTCCTTCCAATATGTCTTCCAATTTCTTCCATCAGCCAAGTTCTACTTTATGGTTCAAAGAATTTCATCTTTTTAAGAGAACATCAACAAACAAGTGAAGAAATTATCAGATGCTGAGCTTTCAGAAGAATCAGATTTCCAACAGCTGTTGCGGAAAACAAAAGCTGACATCTCTTGTTCTTTTAGTGATTTGCATTTATGTTCATTTAATTTGAAAACTCTCATTAATTTTTTTTTGCATTCATAGAGTTAAGATGCTTGCACTAAGTAACACCCCATCAATTTAGATTAAATGGAAGGAAAGTCAGTGGAATTAGTGAAAAGTCAAGTATATTTAGCAACCAAAAATATTCTAATAAAAGGTTGCTAAGTGGTAAAAATGCTTTGGAAACTATCTCTTAGAATTATTTTAATTCATAAATAAATTGTTAGTGTGGTGCAGCTATTATGTTTTACCTTAGTTCATTCTTAAATAGCATTACTTGCCCAGAAAGCCTTTTTGTTAGACCAAAGGTACACCACAACTCTAGCCCAGTATGCATTGCAAATTACAAATTATTGGGTTTCAATTTAATGAGGTTTTCATGCCATAAGGATTAAAAGGTCTTAGAAACAGAAGGAATCTCAGTGGATATTGAATCCAAATCTCACTTCATTTGTAGAAGTCTCTACTTGAGTATTCCAGGAGCAAGGACTATGTGATTTCAGCACACTCCATTATTGTGATATAATGGAGGGACATCATGCTGGGTAGAGTAGAGGGACAGCGCAGGAGGGGAAGACCCTCTATGAGGTGGATTGATTCAGTGACTGGGGTAATCGGGATGGGTGTGTCAGAGACAATGCGATTGGCACAGGATAGAGCAGGGTTTAGGGCTGTTGTACATAGGGTCGCTATGAGTCGCAAACGACTCGACGGCACATAACAACAACAACATCCAAAATGTTCTAGAAGAATTAAAAATGCATTTGTTTTGAGACAGAGGGTTTTTCTAGTTCTTTTAGATGTGATTTTGAAAAAAAAGTTTGGAATTTTTTGAAGGTTGTCATAACCTCTCTTTCTGATTATTTCCTATCATACAGGCTAAATAATAACAGTTATGTGGACCAGTAACTGGTTTTCAAATCCTGCACAGCTTACTCATTCTTTTGTTAATCCATCTTACTCTGTCTTTTTTTCTAACGGTGTCACCCAAAATGCACACAGTAAACTCCTGCAAAATTAGCATTAAGAGGGGAATTTAATCTGCTGACTTCCTTGAATAGGCCTCTTAACACCTTCATTCCTTGTTTTATTTATCAACTCCTAAAATAGTGGACGCATATACATATAAATGAAGGGAACCTTGATGACCTAATAATGTTAAGGAGTTGCACTGCTAACCTTAAGGCAGGCAGTTCAAATCTACCAATTGCTCCTCAAGAGAAAGATGGGCAATCTCCTCCTGCTATAAGCTATGAGACTTAGGGATAAGCTATGAGCCTGTCCCAACTTGATGGCATATAACAACAACAACATATGTGTACATACTATATGAACACCTTTCAATATACAGAGAAAATAAAATTAATCATTCTTACAATTTATCATGGAGGCCAAGCTTTGAAATTAATCATTCTTACAATTTATCATGGAGGCCAAGCTTTGACTTTGCTAATGACAAGAATAATTTCGCCAGAAAAAAAACTGTAGGAAAATAATATTATCTGACTGATAGCATTTAACCAAAATCCTGTTCAGGAAACAAATGGAGGTGAATAAAAAAAGAAATTACACAGATGTCAGAGTTGCACCCACTCCCTCTGCTTTCAGAAGACAGCTCCCTTGGTCTGTCTGTTGTGGCAGCCTCTGATTTTTCTCAGCTGATCAAGAGAGCTTAGTGGCCTTCAGAACCCACTTACAAATAATTTAATACATCAACATGTCACCCCACCTGAAGCTCCCAGCAAAATAAAGCCACATCTAAAGATTAAAGGGTAGAAAAATGCCAGAACTTAAGGGGTAGAAGCTTAAAAGCAAGTATTTAATGAGCCACCACCTAGAAGTCTCAACACAAGTATGTAGCATATTAGACACACAAACACCCTGAAGGCAGACAGAACAGAAATGAACCATCCCAGAGAGGACATAAGAAGTCCTGATAGTGTTTTGAGGAGCACCAAACTTCTTTCTATGGTGGTTGCACTATTTTACAATCCCACCAACAATGTATAAGAGTTCCTATCTCCTCACAACCACTCCACATTTATTAATTGTTATCCTGTTAAACTGCCACTGCTTCTGGAGTGGGATGGTATCTCATTATGATTTTGATTTGAATCTCTCATATTGCCAGTCATTTTGAGCATTTCTTCATGTCTCTTGGCCATTCAAATCTCTTCTTCTGTTAAACTTCTTTCCATGTCTTTTGCCCATTTTGTAATTGTTACGAATTTTTTTTTTCTTGTGGAGGCCCTGTACGAGGATTCTATAAACATTTTAAAAAATATTTGTATTATTATTATAGTAGTTTATTTACAAAATTTGAATACATTGTTTTCCAGAACAGATTCTTCCAATTTTCCTCCAACCCCACCCATCAAATTGTACAACCCATGACTGATCCCCTCTCCCCCTGTACATCCTCATCTCTCTACTTCCACCCTACCCCCTCCTCTGGATCTTTATACTCATTCTACTATAATGGTTTTATATAGTATTTGTCCGTGTGGAATCGAGTTAGGTCACTCACAATAATGTTCTCCAGTCCCTCCCAAGTAGGGTAATAATTTACAAAATCATTGCTCCTGAATGCTGTGTAGTGTTCCATTGTCTGACTGTACCATAATTTCTAAAACCATTTGGTTTTGGTTGGACATTTGGGCTGTTTCCTTGTTCTTGTGATGATGAATAATGTTGCTAAAAACATTGGTGTACAAGTTTCTGTTTTGTGTCTCATGTCTCATTTTCTCAGAGTGTGGATCATAACAAACTGTGGCTGACTCTGAGAAGAATGGGAATCCCAGAACACTTGATTGTTCTTATGTGAAACCTATACTTGGACCAGGAGGCAGTCATCAGAACAAAGCAAGGGAACACTACATGGTTCAAAATTGGGAAGGGCGTAAGCCATGGATGTGTCCTATCTCCGTACCTTTTCAATCTGTATGCAGAACAAATTGTCCGGGAGCCTGGGCTCTATGAGGAGAAATGTGGGGTCAAGATTGGTGGACGATTTATCAACAATCTGCGTTATGCAGATGACACAACCTTGCTTGCTGAAACTGAAGAGGACCTGAAGCACCTGCTGCAGAGGGTCAAGGACTGCAGCCTCCAAAATGGATTGAGACTCATTGTCAAGAAGATGAAGATTCTCATCACTGGACCAATTGGCAGCATCAGGAAGGATGGTGAAGAGATTGAGATTGTACACAGCTTTAGTTTGCTTGGCTCCACAGTCAACACTCTTGGCACCAGAAGCCAGGAAATTAAAAGGTATATAGCCATGGGAAAGTCTGCTGTTAGGGACCTCTCCAAAGTACTAAAGAGCAATGGCGTCTCTCTGGAGACTAAGGTGTGTCTGATACAGGCCATGGTCTTTGCTTGTTATGCATCAGAGAGTTGGACAATGATCAAGGAGGATAGAAGGAGAATTGATGCCTTTGAGCTGTGGTGCTGGAGAAGAGTATTGAGAGTACCATAGACTGCTAGGAAAACAGATTCATCCTGGAGAGGGTTAAATCAGGTGGCTCCTTGGAGGCAAGGATTCTGAGGCTCCGTCTACCATACTTTGGACATGTTGTGAGGAGAGACCGGTCCTTGGAGAAGGACATCATGCTTGGGAGGGTGGAGGGACAGCACAGGAGGGGAAAGCCCTCTATGAGGTGGATTGATTCAGTAACTGGGGTAATTGGGATGGGCATATCACAGACAGTGCAACTGGCACAAGACAGAACAGAGTTTATGGCTGTTGTACATAGGGAAGCTATGAGTCGCAAGCGACTCGATGGCACATAACAACAACAACAACATATTCCAAGTAGTGGAACAACTGGATCATATAGGATTTTTATGTTCAACTTTTTGAGGAAGCACAAAACTCCCTTCCAGAATGGTTGTACCATTTTACAATCCCACCAACAATGTATAGAGTTCCTTTCTCATCACATCCTCTCCAACATTTATTATTTGCTGTCCTGTTAAACTTTGCCACTGTTACAGCAGTGAGATGGTACCTTATTGTAGTTTTGATTTGCATCTTTCTTATTGCCAGTGATTTTGAGCATTTTTTCATATGTCTGCTTGCCATTTGAATATCTTCCTCTGTGAAAATTCTTTCCATGTCTTAATTCGGTTATCAGTCTCTTTCTTGTAGAGGCCCAGCAGTATTCTGTACACTTTCATTATGAGCCTCTTGCTTGAGATAGTATTGTCAAATGTTTGTCCCCAGTCAGCTGGTTTTCTTTTCATCCTGTTGGGGAAAGTTTCTGATGCACACATGGCTTTAATCTTTAGAAGGTCCCATTCATCAATTTTATTCTTTTCAGATTGTGCATTTCTGGCTGTTTTGGGCAGTCTCTTTATAGCTTTGACTAGTGCTTCTAAGCTTGATCCCAGTTCGTCTCTTATGAAGTTTATAGTTTGGGGCTTTACTCCCAGGTCTCTGATACACCTTGAGTTTATTTTTCTGTGT